AATTTTGTAACAAAAAATACTTACAGTGCTAAAGTTTCTGAAAGCAAAATGCATAATATTAATGACAACACTGCCTCTTGTGAGGTGATGCACAGAGTTCAAGTGGTTGCTTCTAATGTTATTAGCTTTGAAACATAGCAACATACTGAGAGAGTGTGAGTCCAGAGTATATGGCTTTGCTTAGAATCTCTGGAAAGCATGGGAATGAGTAAAGAATCATTTTGAAAAGCATATTAAGACATACTGGGAACTAACTCCTCATTCATTTTAACAATGTGAAACTGGAATGCATTATTTAAATCATTCAGAAAATATTACTGAAGTGTCACCATGAATAAATACAACAGCTATGACTGGTGTAAAAACAAAGAGGCATATTAATTGGTTAAAGTCAATTTAGGTTCATGAGCAGCATGACACTACATCTTAAAGTAAAAGACTCAGAAATATTTCTCTGGATTAAATGAGTTTCAGTCAATGAAAAGATACCTTTTAAGTAGATTATTATGGATATTTCTTAATCAAAAAGGCTGTGATGTGATCTCCATTCAAACTTGACAGAATTCATTCACTGGAATTATTTTCTGAAGGCATAAACATGCTGAAAAATACAAACTAGACTTCATTCTCTGTGAGTTTGTATCTTAACACTCTGTGACTGGAATTTCAGTTCTAAACAAATATTTACAATTTTCAGTTCTGTTTAAACAAGCATACTATGGAGTTGTTTACTGAGTCTGGCTAGAATGGAGTTAATTTTCTTCAGAGCATCCTGTATGCTGCATTTTGGATTTGTGACCAAAGCAGTTTTTATGACCAAACCAATGTTTTAGCTACTCTGACAGTGTTTACACAGCATCAGGATTTCTCACACTGCCTTCCAGCAATTTGGTTGGGGATGAGCAAGAAGGAGGGAAGGGACACGGCTGTCCCAGCTGACCCAAAACAACCGAAGGGATGCTCCACACTGCGTGACACACCCAGCAATAAAAGCTCAGAAGAGAAGGAGCAACAAGAGGTATTTGGGGTTATGGTGTTTGTCTTCTAAAGTAACTGTTAGGTAATGAAGCCCGGTGTTCCTGGAAATGACTGAACATCTGCCTGCCAACAAGAAGTAGTGAGTACATTTCTTATTTTGCTTTCTTTGTTCGCATGTGCTGCTTTGCTTCACTCATTAAGCTGTCTTTAACTCAATGCAATGTATTTAATTTTTGTTCTGGTTTTTTCCTGTGCAGTTCTTTTCACCTACACCACTGTAGGAGAGAGTGAGCAAGCAGAACTTAACTGCCTATTGGGACTAACCCACAAGTAGAATTGCAGTAGGAGAAAATGAAGTTGTTACCAATACTGCAGATCAGACTTGTTCATTTTGGAGCAAAATAAAAACTGCTTGTAAAGCAGTTGCTATAAGATGTGATATATTATACACTTGTACTGCTGGGAAGTTTTGAGTTCACTGATAGTTTGGAGCAAATCTCTTAGATTTTGTTCTGTGTATACATAGGAGAGGCATTTGTGCTTGTTTTTTTATAATCTGAACTCTGAAGGCTGAACTCTGAAGTTTTGTGAGTTTTGTTGTTGTGTTTTGTTTCTGTGTTGTTTTGCTGTCACCATCCTGTGGAAATCTGGGAGTGTTTGATCAAGTGATATCTTTGTGCAGAAACCTGGTAGGTATCACTGGGAGTTCCAGTCACTTTTGCAAACCAGTTTCCTACATGAATTCACAGAATCAGTACATTGCTCAGATTATTTGTAGATCCTGCTTTTCATCATTATTGCTTATTCTTATGTCTTACAAAATGTACAAGATCCTTTAAAATTAATGCTTGGGGTTGTTTTAGAAGATGGATTCCTACCTGCTTTCTTTTTCTAGCATACTACTGATATTTAATTCTGTGGAAGAGGTAGAAGAAATTGAAGAAAGCAGAATGCCATATGCATTTTTAGTGCATACTTGTGTGACAATCAGGAACAGATGGAGAATAAGACCAAAACCTAAATTCTACCAAACAACATAACCAAACTAGAATTAGCCAAGAAAAAACAATCACTTCAGACACTGAAGTATGAAGCATGTTTATGATTAAGGACAGGAAGGATGTGAATTTATGAGTTTTAACATTTGTTGAAGTTTAGTTGGAGGTTGTTTGCCTGAAATTAATAGGAAAGCAATATTTGAAGGTATCATGATTTAAATACAGGAAGACAGCTTTTGAAAGCCGCACTTACAGATCATAAATGAGATCACTTCTTTATGTCAGGACACATAAAATCAATTTTAAGGTTTACTTCTCATGATTAGTCCTTTTGTGTGTTCTGCAGTTATTATAAGATACTGCACTTTTCCTTTGTCTTCAAATGTTTACTTTGCCACTTGGTGGCCTCATTTGATAAGGCAATAAACAATAAAAATCTCAGTTAAGATCTCTTCTTTTTCCAATGGTGTGCAATTCAAATCTTGTTTTTCTTCCTATATATCCAAGAACAGCACAGCACTTGTTGCAACTGATGTGTGCATTCTGTGTTGATTGCTGTGGTTTTTGAAGGCCTGAATCGCTGATATTGAGATGATCAGACCTGAAAGCTCTTCAATCAGGGACAGAACTGAGCTGGATGACTTTTCTCCACTTTCTTTCTTGCAACTCTCTGATGTTTTTATATTCCTTAGACCTTTCTCCCTCAAAACAAGATCTAATCTACTACCGGTATTGTTTAATGTATTTTTAAGATCATACCTTGTTCTGTTTTTGCCATGGATCTTTCCCACTTATTTTGCATCCTTCATTCTTATTTTCCTGACTTGCAAATATATATATATTTTATCTTTCTTGTGAAACCATATCCCAGATCTCTATCTCTTTGGAAAATGTTCTTATCAATAATGGGACGAAAAATCAGTTCCCATTGCCTTGATACTGAATCCACAGTGTCCTACTCTGCTGACTTAAGGCTCTGAGCAAGAAGCCAGAGTGCATTCTCCTCCAATCTTGTCTCATGGTTTTTGTGCAAATTCTGTATTGGTCTTTTGCAACTGCATAGCTTCAGGATCTTTTGGAGATATATATATATATATTTTATATATATATTTATATATGTGTATATTATATATACATATATATACATATATATAAAAGGCAGTTAAACATAAGCAATGATTGATTATTAAAATAGCAACATTTAAAATATCTTTGCTTTTCATTAATTCATTTACCTTTTTGTAATTACATTAAAACTGTTTAGGCACTTTTCTAATTTGGAATCTTACTTGATACAATTAAGGTCCTGCTTTATTTGTAATTAGAGCTGGTCCATCCATCCAGTTTACTGCTAGGGTTGAATTCTTGCATGGAAAATATGGACCCTACTTGCCGTTCTGCAGAGTAGTGGTCTGTTCTTTTTTGTTTATCCATGCATTGAGTGTTCCTTCCCCGTTGATTTACTGTAACAGCATTAATCTCTTCCCAGTGTTTGCTCAGGGTCTGTATCTGCTCGTCACTTAAAATATTAGGCTGAATTATTATTTTTTTCCAAAGCATACCTCTAGATCACATTGTAAGAAGCTGTTTTGGTCCACAGAGCATTAAAATACCAAGGTGATGTGGTATCCCAAACTTTTCCGTATTTTTTCAGCTTTTTACTTAGCACTAATTGAGTAGGTCCACTGGTTGATTCAGTTTACCATGAATTAGAACTTACCAGCAATGTGAAATCTTCGTTTTATTTCCAGGTCTCCAATTTCATGATTACCCCTGGAAAATACGTTCCTCGCTCCAAATCAGTTTATTGGTTTAAATCATATCAGGAAAACAGAATATTAAATACTTACATTTTGGGAGACTTTGCTGTAGCTTTCTGGACTGGCACTGTCTCAATGCATTTTATCACTGAATTATCAGTATTAGAACAATATTTAGCCCCCTTTTACATGGTGGTGGGTGTGACTAAACTGAGACTGCCTGTACTGTAGTTGTATCCCAGCTTGTAGTTCTTGAATTCTCAAATATTTTAATACCATTTTTCTTTATTATCCAGATTGGGTTATTCACAATTGCAAAAGTTAAGTAATTATGTACTCATCTGTCTTAATATTGGGCCAATCAGCCATGTTCTAATACCCCCTTTTGAGTTTAAGCAGCCCCTGGGTTATTTTGTTCATGCATCTATTACATCTACTGTAACATATCTGCTTGGTGTGTATGTAGTGCTCTTTATCTACAAGCTGCCAGGTCCTGCACTTTGGTCCCAACAACACCACGCGATGCTGCAGTTTTGGGGCAGAGTGGCTGGAAAGCTGCTCCGAGGAAAAGGACCTGGGGGTATTAGTTGATAACTGGCTGAGTGCACAGGTGGCCAAGAAGGCCAGTGGCATCCTGGCTTGTGTCAGAAATGGTATAGTCAGCAGTACCAGAGAGATGATCATCCCTCTATACTCAGCTCTGGTGAGTTCTTTTCTGACCTTAATGATTCTGTGATTCTATGATTCCAAGTGTTTGTTATCTGGCCACACCAATCTGTTAGTCTATAGAAGTTAGGACCCTTCTCTTTGCTTCACCCATCTGTTAGCTTCTTTAGTAATCACCCCTCAGTTCCCTCATTTGTGTGCTGTAAAGAAGTTAGGTCTTTGATAACTTTGTACTATTTTGTTTTGTTTTCAATATGGATATTCAAATTTTATGACTATTGGAATGACTGCAATCTTAGCAAGGGTATAAGGGTATCTCCTTGAGACTATTTCAGTTCCTCTGCATTTGTGTTTTTTCTTTTGGTAATGTTTTTACACAAGATGCATATTCTTCCTCACTGAGTTGTTAGGGCTTTTTTTCCGTTTTTTGTTTCTTTGTTTGGAACTATTGTTAGAACTTCCTTTTCATGGTTAGTGCCTCTTAGATTAAAACACTGTGCTTGCAGGTCTTTATTACTCTTGAATTGGTAGCCAAATAGTTAAACCTTGTCATACGCTATCTGAAATTACGTACAAAGCCAAGTCATTTCCTTTGGATTCCTCTTTTAATGTTGTTAGTGGAGCTTATTAGCTCTGCTGCTTCTGCGGAGCTACTCTACTTATATTTTACAAGAGTTGCTGCATATCTAATACAGGATTTTGATCTTCCCCATAAAAACTGGACCCATCTGTGAACCACGCTGAATGTTCTGTGGCACAAAGTCAGCAACAGAGCTTTTATCTGATAACAGTTGACAGGTAAGAGATACGTAACCAGATAAATTGCACTTTTGTTCGTTTCCTAGTTAACAGACTATATAGTGCTGGTTCTAAAACCTCGTTGTCTTCTGCAGAAATTTCTTAGTTTATAGAAGCCAATGTTTATCCATCTAACCTAGGGTTTGATACATGTCTGGCTTCTACTTTTCAACAGATTATGTAGCTTAGCAGAGTGTGTTGTGTGATATATATTACTGCAAAACCACCTCTAGTGATCTATAGTTCCATCCTGTAAGATCAAATGCCTATCTCTGTTAAATTTGTCTTTTCATATGCAGTGAATTTCTTTCCCATTTATCTTAAGACTCTAATGTCAAAGATTGTAACATGCTTCTTGTTGTGGGGTGTTCTTGAAACAGTAAAGTCCTGAGATCTAGATCAGCAATGTCTAGCTGAACATGAAACATCTTAAAATAATTCAGGTGGCCGCAGACAGGGTTTGAACTTGTGGTTTTCCTTCCTTCTGTTCTTCTTTCGTGCCTGGTCATGAGATTTCTTCACTGAGTTGATTAGTGGTTTACTGATTTATGTAAGAAAAAGGATGTTCTCATGCGAACTTAAGAATTTGCAAAAGTGATTATTATTCACTTATTCCTGTGGGCATTGAACTGTAGGCTAAGTTCTTCTCTTTGATGATACCAATGTTGCTCTCCCTTCTCCATCTAATACCGTTCCTAATATTTCATTTCAGATTGTCCCAACTAAATGTTATCATGATTATCATTAAAACCTAGGTTTTGTATTATGCTGATGACTTCTTTGATATTTTCCCATATTTTCACATCGTTTTCCGTGTACCAACATATCATCCACATATGATGTGGTGTGACACTTTTTAATAATAACTTATCCACACTTGATTTACATAGGTCATTGTGAAAGTGACATGTCCTGTTTATTTCCATGTTAACTGCAACAGATACAAAGAGCACAATAACACTTTGATAGAGCAAGTTTTCAGCTATAAAACACTTCAACACAGTCACCACCATTAGCTCTGCATTTTCACTAGTAATGAACAAGAACCTTCATGCCCCACTTGTAAACATCTGCATTAGCAGAAGTGGCTCACTGTCACCACTGCTGAAACATACCATCCTCTGCTTCACTGTGCTCACATGCACTGTTTGGCCTCCATTGACATTCAGCAAATATTGGTGAATGTCGACAGGTTCATTTTTTCTGCATGGAGGAATTCAGTTCCATGCCTTTGCTTCATAGATGTTCCTGTGTCAGATGCCATTTTGCTGGAGTGTATGGCAATAAAATGTAAAAGGATGGTAAGAAGGTTCAACTTCTACTGCTGTAGAGCCAGCATTCACCTCTGACACTGTGATCCAACATAATGAAATAGGAGGCATTACTTTTGGAGTAGCCCTACTATTGATCTAAAAAGTCTTATGATATTTGAACAAATCACTGTTGCTTTCCTCACTGGTACTGTCTTTGTTCAGATAGCAGAATTACAAAGAGAGCATTGGCTAAGTCAGTAAGTGAGATATCAGTATTACTGAGAAATTCTGTTTAGTGCTACAAAATTCTCATGTGCCCTTTTTGTCACAAACAACCTGAGAAATGACTACTCATTTAAATGTTAAAAATCCACTGATAGACTTTTTGTCAAGTGTTCAATACAGAGAAAAAATGAGATTTAAAAATATAGACCTCTGTATTCATACCTTGGCTTTCTGTAAGCTGTAGACAGCAAACTGGTGTCTTTTCTCTGTTTCTTGATGAAGTTGGTATTTTTTCAGTGGGAAGGAGGATCTGGACCTTCAATTAATACACAGCTTCTATTTTTCCACATTTTAACTTACAGGCATACAAAACTTAAGGAAATTCTGTTACCCAAATATCTAGTGTTTTTATTTCCTCCGGATTCCTAATAACAATGCATCAATGACCTGCAGGAATCGCTCCACCCTCACCTCCCACTGGTCAGTACCAATTCCAGAAACATCTGTAGCAAAATCTGTAGCTAATGCATTTTGTTTCATCAGTACAGTGCCAGTATTTCTCTGCTGTTTACAAGAGCAGTCCTCCCACTCCTGGGCTCAAAGGAACTCCTGTACTCCAGAACTTGGCAGCTATGTTACTGCAGGCAGAGACCTTAATTACAGGTACTTGAACATTCTTTCATGTGTATGAAACAACATGTACAATTTTCCCGCTTTCCTGAGTTTCAAATGGAAATATTTTCTTTGGAGGCCATTTGTTGGCGTTACAGTCTCAGTGAACATCATAGCAATAGAGGTAGTTAACATTCTCTCCCTGATCACAACGCTAATGTTGTTACTGGCCGTTCCCATTGGTCATGTATGTAATGTTAGCACTAGTGCAGACTGTCCTTAGTCTTTGTTACTGAGGGAATGCCTGTGGGCTTCACTGAAAGGAGCCGTCATATTCTGTAGTTTACATTCTTCCTCCTTACCTTTCTTCTACAAACAGACAAAGCAAACCAGGAAAGAATTTATGGATTCTATCCAATTTTCTCATATCTTAGACTTCTTTTTCTCAAATTTGACCTTGTTGCTCTCCTGCACTTCCACTGGTGCTCCCTAAAGGATATTATTGTGGTGTCCTGTTTTGCAATTACCATTCCACATCTTTTTTCACAGAGATAAAGCCACACTGGGTGTTAGTTTCCTTTTTGTTTTTCTTTTGATCTTTACTCTTAAACGGAGGCTGTGTGTCCCTACTACCATATTTCTGAAAATTACAGTACGGACAGAGCTGCTGCCAGGCTCTCAGGACTGAGCTTTTTTTACATTCCTTTTTTCCTCCATTACCTTGCCCATTTCTTGAGGCTGGGCTTGCAGCTTCTCTCATTTGTACCTTCTTCTCAGTTCGCACATCCCAGGAATAATCTTGCTGACTTATCCCTTGCACAAATACTACTGTGAAGGTACTGTGATTCTGTTAACTCCACGGCATGCTTGGATCAATGTCTGTATGCCAATCCCAACAATTTTTCAAGGATGCGTGCAGTTTTACATTCTCGTAGTGTTCTTCAAGGTGGGATAAAGTGCTGCAACTGCTCGGAGATGATACTTAGTAAATTTCATACAGGAGGTTCTTCCTACCATGTAGTGGATAATCATACCTCATTCTGATGCTGCACATTTAAGGGGTATGTAATCTTTCCTAGATAAGGCCAGCTAATTCTCAGTGTTTGCAAGCTACATTATGCAAGTTTCTGAATTTGCTGGCCCCAAAGTTTAAACAATGACTTGTTTGTGCTGCAGTCAGGTCAGTTGCTACTGTTATCCTATCCCATGTTTTAGCAGCAGTCAAGAAATAGGCAGTATTGGGAGTCTGTTTTTTACCATTGGTTTGTTTTCAATAGTGTCACTCTTTCACAGAAGCCTATTTTGCTTTCACAGTAACATAGTTTTCAAGACAGTTGGCATCTGAGTTATCCTGTTTTATTCTGGAAAGAGAAATATTAACATATTCATTATGTGTATTGCTCTGAATAATTGACAGTTGTGTCCTGGCTGAATGTTACTGAAGTAAAAGAGCTCCTAGAGCATGCAGAAATCCATCTGCAGAGAACAGCTTTCAGCACCTGTCCTCAAGTTAGTAAATGGCTCACTGCACAAACTGTAAGGTAAATCTAGCTATTAGAAACTGAGGACTCAGTCTTAAACATTGTTAGGACAGTATTTTGTATACAGATCAAAAGAGTGACTCAAGGCCATCTTTAGCAGCATCCAGCTCAAAGTTGATGTACAAGAGAGGGTTTTCATAATATTACTTGCTATTATTTCTACTCATATTTTGCTATCATTTTTCTTTTTTACATACATTTTTTTACGTACTTTTTTTACAACTATTTTTACATGTATATATGTATATTGTTCCTATAACTATATATGAAGAAGAAAGGGTTTTCTTCAGTGAAAAGCATTGTTATTGCTTTCCCTCTCTCTTACCATGGTTTAGCACATCTGTGACTCATATATTATGGCATGATAATCAAGTTCTTATCTTTACCCATGCAATCCGTTGGAAGGAGATCATCATACTTTGTTAACCATTGTCAAAATAAGACACTGTTTTTATTGCCATACCACTAAAAGTATGTTTTGATCACTGCCACAGTTTTAATCCATTGAGGAAAACAGAATAATAAATTTGACTCACTCTTGGGGTTAGAATATTTATAGAGAACATCTTACTTTGAAATCCTGGAATAGGCATTACTCTCCTTTCCTACCTTTACACTTGCGTGAACCCAGAAAAAATGAACTATATGGCTGCCAGAGGTCAATGAAAAGTGAAATCCGTAATACATTGTTTGTGTAAATTAACCTCTGGTATACAGTGATACCGTTCAGGCAGTCATGATGCTATACAGTTATCTTCACTTATAGACATAAGCATGTATGTATACCTTCCCTGAGAGACCTACTGCTCTTAAACAGTTAAATCTATTTGAAATATGGAAACAGGTGGTAATTCTGTCCTGTGAAGTGACCCACCAGGACAGTGTTCAGAAGCAATACTAGTCATGGGTGCTTTTGGAACAAGATGAAATATCACAGTAACCAATTCATTTCTTTTTCCTTGTAAACATATGATTTTACATACACATATGTTAGAATTGGACTATTGAGTTGGTGTGTGAAAGGCTCCTCCTGGTCCTGCCGCACACAGTAATAGGCAGATTTGCTAATCTGTTGGCAAAGTGTTTCAGGAATGACACAGTCAGATGTGTTCTCTTCCATCATGCGCACAAAACCATGGAATCAGTGTTGGGTATAGGACCCAGCCCTGTTGTAGTCCACTGCCGATGCAATGGACTTTTTTTGTGAACTGATTACAAGCCATGAGTGTGCCATGGGAGTTTCAAGTTGAATATTGGGAAAAAAAATATTTTCAGAAACAATGATGATACACTGGGACAAGATGCACAGGGAGTTGGTGGGGTCACCAGCTTTGGAGGTGTTCAATAAATGTGTAGGTGTAGCACTGAG